GCTGCAGATATTATCTGTAAACTCTGCTACTGGGGTGACAAAGAGGCCAGCATTGAATGATTCCACCTTAACTTCTCAGACAAATTTATCAAAGCTAGATGGATTTCAAATTGCCCTGTCCTTGACAATGACAATTTAGTGCTTAACAATGTGGTTCAATTACAATAAACTATTGCTTGTGAAGACAATTAACTGCGATTGAAAAATAAAAAATGTTATAGAATTTATTTTAAAAATTCATCCGTACTATAAATACAATTTCAAATAGGAACAGGTTAAATTGTTTGTTGTAAAGACTTTGTGCAATTATGCAACTATTAATTACTAGAAAAGACTAGATTTAAGCTTTACAAAAGAATACTTTAAAAGAATTATTGATCTCATGCTTCAATATGACACAAATTATAAACGTTTTATTGTATCCAAATAATAGCATGACAGTAAATAAATATATTGTTTTTAAATACATCATTATTACAAACAATTGCAAGCAAGTCGACTCGAATCAGAGCTCATTGGCTGGTATTGTTGTTCAAACTTTGTCAGTGTGCTAACATTCTTTTAATAAGTTACTATATTAAATTATGTTTAATAAGAATCTCTCTACTTATACATATATCAAGGGTCAAAAATCATATTGCCCAAGACATATAAAAATTCCACTTCAGCATAAATTTCATTATATTGCTGGCTGGGCATGTAAATATTTAATCAGAAATGTTATCAAATTCTTAAGAGGTGCCCATTCAAATTTTGATGAAAAGAAATAGAATTAGATGAATAAGTGAAGGAAAGAGAGGAAGAAAAGAAAACCTAATTTAATTAAAAAGATCAAAATAATAAAAAATTTAATTATGCTAATAAGTATTTATCAAAAAAAGTTAGCTTATTTTTTATTCCTCTCGTTATTCTTATTTTTAATATAAAAACTAAACACTTTACAATCTTTAAAATAAGATCAATCATTAGTGGCAATTGCACAAAAGAAAATAAGCATATTGAAAGACATGCACTTGCCAATAATACTTAATACTTCTGAAACTAACGCTTCTTTGTTAACAGTTATGCTCTGCATATACTCCATCAATGCTGATTCACGTAAAACAATCTTTGAGCAATGGAAAACAACTTCATTGCTATTTAATTGTGTTAATTACTTTTTAATAATGCCTAATATTTCTGTTTAGCACCTATAAAATTGTTAATACAGATATATTGTTAATGTCATTTTTTGACATATTTGTGATTGATTAATTATATTAATATTATTATATATGCATTCTAAAAAGATACTTGGTAATTAATAGTCTCATAAATGCAAGTATTTTTACAACCCTAGTACAGTCTGCAAAATACATATGCATAGATATTATACATAAAAGACAAATAGATATACATATGCATAGATATTATAGATAAAAGACAAATGGAAAAAAAAAGTTTAAAAAATAGAATATATAAGAAAAAACCTTCATCAGAATTATATTATACACTTAAATTTTAGAATTGATTAAATTAAGTCTATCTTAATTCAGTTGAATTTAGAGAAATGTGAGATAATTCTGTTGAATAATTAAGTTTCATAAAAATGGATGATCAAACTTATATCCTGTTAGGAAAGACATTATCTTAAAATAATAAGTAAGTATATCATGTAAGTTAAAGATAGAAAATGTATTAGAGTATCTGCAATATAAATATCTGCCTTGATTAAGAAATATATATGCAAACTTATCATGATAATTTGATAATGTTAAATTAATACGATGTCTGACACTAATTTTTGTTAAGTAACAAAATTTTAAATGTTTTATGCTACTTCAAAATTTCAAGTTACTTGAAGGTTGAAAAAAAGTGTCTAAAATGTCTTACAACACAAGCAAAGTAGTACTACAATAAAAGAATTTGTTCATCATACTTAAAATATAATTAATTAAAAAAAAAAAATATTGATAAAATAACGATCATATCACAAGAAACTAAAAAAAATTCAAAATAAATGCTTTGTAAATGAGATTTTTTTAATTTACATGTACTTAAAAAAATAATAAATGCGAGATTGAATATATACTGTTTGACTAAGAACAATAAATTAATTTAACTAAATCTACACCATTTATACAAAATGATATGCTAATATTTAAAAAAAAAATGTCATAGAAGACTTTAAAAAGAAACACTTCATTTTTTCAGAGCTAAAAGTCGTTTAACAAAAGTCATTAAACAAAAACTCTGAGTATATTAAATCAGAGGTTCTCAAACTTTAAGGCATTAACTTCAAAAGGAGCTGTATACTTACTTTAGTAAACTAGCAAAATATTAAAATTATCTTGGAAAAATAGCAACATCTTACCTTGAAATATTAAATTAATTAGAAACTTTCCTCACATTTAATCAATTTCTTGAGAAAGCAGTAAAAATCTATGATACAAAACTTTAATGAAGAAAAAAAATTTAATTTTTCAACAAAAAAAAAAAGATTTTTAAATTCTATAGAAATTTTTTTTATTTTCTCATAAATTATTTTTTTAAAGTTTAAATAATAAATAAATAGCAGCTGTCCAATTCTTACATTTAATCATCTCTCTATTTTTTTTTTCTTATGTGGCATTCTGGTATTTCTCTACGTATTGGCAACACTACAGTTATTATTCATTTTGATAGGTGGTCTAAAGTAATAATTTAAGTAGTGTTAAAAAAGTAGTTATACATTAAGTATTTATTTATATTCATTTTGTTAGATTGCCTTAAGTAATAATTTAAGTAGTGTCAAAGAGTTAAATGTTAAGTATTTATTTAAAGTAATTTTGCATTTTTATAGATATAAAATTTAGTAATGAAGTGATTATTTTGATTCATTTTTGATCTTTTATAAAATGGCTGTAGAAATTTTGAACATAAATGGTGGTGCTATGGTGACGCATACTGTCATAACAATTAAAATGACAGAGTTTGCCTTTATGAGCAATAGCATGTGTACATATATATATATATATATAGATTTTATTATAGAGAGATTTTTTTTATAGAGAGATATTCATATAGAGAGATTTTAAATCATTTCTAAAATTGAATGCTTTGAAAATATTGAGGATTTCTCTTGAAAATAGTTAAAATTGAAATCAAAGGGCTTCCACCCAGGCACCAGCTAGAAGGTGAAAAAATTTGGTTAATATATTGTTGAAAATTAATTAAAATAGAAGGAAAGGGCAGGAGAATTAGATTATTTAAATACAGTTACGCTGTGCATTTGGTTCAGTGACCATTAAAGTTTATGTGTTGTACAAGATAATTTTCAAAGGGCTTCCACCCAGGCACCAGCTAGAAGGTGAAAAAATTTGGTTAATATATTGTTGAAAATTAATTAAAATAGAAGGAAAGGGCAGGAGAATTAGATTATTTAAATACAGTTACGCTGTGCATTTGGTTTGGTGACCATTAAAGTATATGTGTTGTACAAGATAATTTTCAAAGGCGACCGCTAAAAGCAGCTATATATTTTCTAAATTTTTTTTTCCGTTCATATATATATATATATTTGTGCTACTGTTTCACAACAATGCATTTATTATATAATTGTGGGGAAAGTGAAACAATCTAACAGTATCATTTGTAAGCATTACAAGTGCTTTTAGAAAGAATAAAGTTTTTACATCTTCTATCAATACGATATATTAATTTTTAAAGATGTCTGTGTAGTAACTTTTTTAAGTGCTGGCTGATGTTAGAGTTAGCATTTTTTGCTGTCCTATTTAAGCTCCCTGATAATCTTGCCTGAGTAGTTAGTGACTAAAGATTTCTCACGCACTTTCTTCAATACATAATGAAAAATATATTGACATTTTTTATATAAGTAGAACAGGTAAATCCATTTACAAAATGAATTTTTCTTTTTTGAAAAAAAAAAGCAGAAAAAAAAATTTTGGATAAACTATAAAAGAATTATAGAACAATGATTTACCATATAAAAAAAACTTTATATTTTCTTTTAAAATTAAACTTAAGACAAAACTCTTCTACTAGGTCAGTGAAATACATTTTAATTGTTATTCATTGCTTAGCCATTGTGTCCAATTGGCAATGAAAACTATATTTTGCTAATTTATATATAATTAAATAATATTGATAAAAGGAAAGGGACCACAAAACTTTAATACTGAAATTAAAGAACCACAGTTGTAAAAGTTTGAGAACCTTTTTTTTTAAAAAAAAAAAATAAAAAAAAGAATGAGTTTAATTAAGTCAAAGGAAAAATAAATTACTTTCAAAAAGTCATAAATATTTTAATTTTAAAGACAAGTTTTCAATAATTATTGCTTTTGCAAGAAAAAGAAAATTATAAACACACAAAAATTATATGAAATTAAAGGAATAGAATTGTTTATCTATAAACATTGATTTATAGACAACTGATGATATTTATTGTTCCGATGAACAAATTGAATCAATTTGAATGAAAAAAGAATTTTTTTATTTTTGCTAGTTACAAATATCAGCGTTTTCATAATTATTTAATACTTATTATTTAGATGTTTATGTACATAAAGTGCTCCTAAAAGAGCCAGTTATTAGACAGGAGAGTCTTAGAGTTAAAAGCTCACTATAAAATCTAATAGAAAAATCACACAATAAATATGTAGGTTTGCAATCATGGAAAAAGAATAAATTATGGAAATGCTTTTCAAACAAAAAGGGAGTTTATTATTAAAAGAAAATCTTCAATTGTAAGTTAAAGCTTTTTTTAAAAAAAATTATATAGTATTTTTATTTTTATGACAAAAAAACACATTTTTTATAAGATAAAAGCCGATTTTTTACAAATTCATTTATAATTCGATAAATTCAAGTATATTGATCATAAAATTTCAAATATATATACATACCCTATGTACACAAAAATAAAAGATAGTTTTAAAAGAAAAATGGAATTTTTCAGTATACATAATCACAACTTATATAAATCAAACGAATACTACTTATCAGCAAATAAATCAAAGAAATCTATCTGTAAATTCAGTTCATTAAAATAACAGACATTTGTGATCATTACTAATGGGTGATGATAACAATATTGCATATTTGACTTAAAGATGTTTACAGCTGAATGCAATAAACCAGTAAAATAAATACTTTAAAAATGAAAATACCCATTTTATAACATAGAGCTATAAATGAAAAATGTATGCAAATAATTTAAATATAAAGTTTCTCTCCGAATTTTCTTTGGCTCCTGATAAAGGCACGATTATGTGGCACATTTCACAAACAAAGCCTGAAATGATAATTCAGAATGAAATATACACTGAAACTAATTTCTATCATAGATTTAAAGATTTTAATTAATATTAAATGTCAAAATAATAATGTATAATTCTATAGTGTAGATTTTAAAAATATTATAAAATAGAAAAAAAAAAGATTTAACTAATGAAAGAGCAGAGTACAATGCATAAAAAAATGGACAACCTTCAATAACTTTTGATCTAATGATCCGATCTCAGGTTTCAGGACTTGATCTTAATGGTTTAAGGGGGTGACATCAAATATGCAAATTAATAACTCTGATGATATTTTGAGTAATGAAATCAGACACAAAAATACACTTTCAGGAATTGATGTTTAATATTAAACGATATAAAATAAATTAAAAAAATTCAATACATTTTTTCCAAAAAAAAATAATAACTACCGTTATCACCTTGTGCAAATATCAATGGAGAGTCAAAATTATTTGCAAGTTTCAGCAGATTAGTGCAGAGCAAAACCAGCCTAAACATTACAAAACAAAATGTAATAATAACACTATGAAACATTTTTCTGTTTGTCCCGCAGTGGACTGATCGCAAAGACATGATTCCGAGCAAAACACACAAATGAAGCATCACTGATCACGGTCAGTAATCGGTTGGGTGACCACTTTGATCAGCCTGCATAGGGACCGAGGGTACGAGGTATCAGTCCTTGTTAACTGTTCTACCATTAAGTGCTCGACTTTGCGTGCAGATCCTCAGGCTACCAAAGCAGGGGATCCATCCCCTCTACAGAGGATCAAAATTGCGATAGCATGTCTTCGGATCATCCTCAGGGTTTTTTTCCAATCCAATATCGTCCATCGCCAATAGCCAATTGTGCAGCTTTAGTGCAACATAAATAAAGTACCTACGTACCATGAAACCTTTTAACTACGATTCTCTTTGGCCAAAATTTGAATACTAAATAAAAATTTAATCTAAATATGTTCATATTAAAACTGAAGAAAAAAAAATTATTCTAAAATATAACAACATCACTTTTAATATATACTTATTGCATTCATAGAAATTTCTGTAAAACATATTAAAACACTTTTTTTATGCATTATATGGAATATCTACTTCAATTTGTTCATTTTAAAAACAAATTATGAAACTATCAATTCTGCTTGTAATAAATATGTATAACATGATTAGATTACATAGCATGAGAGCTTTTCTAAACTACTATAGGAAACTAATGAAAGGAGGGAAAACTTACGATGGGATTTAACCATGTCTTACTACAGGAGTTGAAGCCTTACTATCTTTCTGTACAAATGTAATGTAAGAATAGACCAAACTACCTAGCATACTAAAGAGAATAATATATTATTTCTATGCAGTGCAAATTTTACAAAACAAATGCTTTGAGTAGAATAATAATAAACATCAAACAGTAAAAAAGAATACTAAAAAATATTGAAATTACTTGAAAATGAATCTTCTTTCTTTATAAAATAAAAAGAATGAAAAGAAATTCAGGCGCATCCAGAAAATCATTCTAAGATGGGTTTTAAAATTAAATCTTAGTTTTATTTTTCAGGAATGTTGAACACTGAACTATTTGAAATAATATTGTAAGAGACATGGTGGCTCAGGGATAGAGCATTCGCTTTCCTATGGTGTGAACCAGGTTCAAATCCCAGCAATAGCTAGTTGATATGAATTCCCCACACGGCTCGCAGCATATACAGTGCTGACGTATAATATCCTTATAATTATAATTTAAAAATTATATTAAAAAATCAACACAAAAATACAGTAAAATAAGAAAATATTTACAAAAAATTTTCACTACAAATAAAAATTATTTATAACTGGTAAATTTCCATACATATTTTTCCCATATGTTCAAAAAAAATTTTGCCATTGTAAAATTTTGGGCTTAAAATTGTATTCAAATTTAAATATATATAAAATTGATTGTTCATAATTAAATTTCAACTTGAATTTAATGAAAACATACATTTAACAACACTAGCACTAAAAGTTATTTTCATTATGCAGGGATGAGATTAGCCAAAAGGCAAAAAAGCTGAATTTCCAAGATAGTAAATTTTACGCAAGCGCAACCCTTTAATAATAAATTCCAGACAGTTTAAGATAATAAATAATGTGTTGACATACAATTGTGTACTAATCTATTATTATATAAATGATTACATTGATACTTAACATTTAGTGAAAATAAAAATTACCAATTGAAAAAATAAAGCTGGAAATTATATTTTTCCTCAGTTCACATAAGAGACAATTATTACTTGAAAAACTACCTGGTTTAGCAAATTAAAACTACTGAGAATATACATTAATATTTCATTTCTTTTAATAAATACTGTTATGTGATTTATAGCAAATATATCAGTAATATTACTTTTTAAATTATATTGGAAAAAAAAACTTTAACAATGGACCGAATCATTATGTTCATATTATAGTCTAATCTAACTACAGCCCTCTGAAACATATCAATAACAGTGAAGTAGAAATATATAGTAACTCCTTAACATACAAAAATTGCTATTTTAGTTTGAAAAATTACATGACAATCAGCAACTGTTTAGATAATTGTTTTTTATTTGATAAGAATTTTGCATTTTATAGCATAAATAACAGCAATTATAAATAAAATTTTGATGATGAGTTAATTAACTCTTTTTCCAAAAAAAAAAAAATTAAATTAAATCCCTTTTTAAGTGATTGCTTTTGTTTGCTATATCTTTTATGTTTGCTATATTTAGTCGTTAGTCCATCTTCAAACATCTTGTGACAAATCCTATTTTTTCTTCTTTGCAAGCACAGAATGTAAGTTTTGAATATATTCCCTTCCAGTTTCTCTGATGTTGTAACACTTACATATACATACTAATAATCGTCGTTAGAAAAACAGTCACTTTTATAGTAACTAATTTTTAAAAAAAATTTACTTCTTACAAGAATCGCGATAGTTGATCTTAAAATTGCGTGAATATGAATAACAATTATGGATTTTGAAATCACATGAATATGAAACTAGATATACGATTTTGAAAATGAGAAAATACAAACTGGGATATAGAATTTTTAAAACGCGTAAATACAAATCACGATTCATAATTTTTAGATCGCGTAAATACGAATCATGATGCGTAATTTTTAGATTGCATAAATAAGAATTATGATGCATAATTTTTAGAATGCGTGAATGCGAATCCCAATGCCTTATTTTAAAATCACGTATAAATACGAAAATCAATGTTTGATATTATAAACCGCATGAGCAAATCAAGACATTGAATTTTAAACTTGCGTGAATACGAATCGCTACATAGGTTTTTAAAAAGGCGTAAATACGAATCACAATATCGGATTTTTAAATCTCGTAAATAAGAATCGCAACGTACAATATTCAAATCGCGTGAATAAGAATCGCAACACGCAAATATGAAAAGCTATGTTTGATATTAAAATCGTGTGAATAAGAATCGAGATATTAGCAGATTCCAGGCTTGGGACCTCTAAAAGGCTTGTCAGAAACAGCGTCGTTTGAACTACAAAAATCGGATCTATCTGGAGGGCGGGTAAAAAATTCGAAAAATCTTATCTGCTGCGTGTAAAAGGGGAGAAAATAGCTAAAATAAGTAAAAATGAGAAAGGATTGGTAGCTATGTAGTTTGAATTTTGTGTTTCTCTTTGAAAATGGGTGAGTTTTCCGAAAAAGCGGAATACTTATAAAAAAAAGTGAAATTTTTAGAAAAATCTGAATTTGATAAAAAAGCTGAAATTCAAGAGATAAAAGTGAAAAAAACGGAAATCAGCTAAAAAGCGGAAAAATCTCATCCCTGATTATGAGAACATTTTCGACTGGGTCACAGATGAAAAAAAAATTCATAAAAAATAAAGCTCTATTAGAATAAATTTAGAAAAATCTTTAAAACAATAGTTTGAATTTCGACTTCCTGTAAACTTTACAAAGGGACAGCCTCGTCATTTCATTCGTGGAGATACGACAACAAAATTTTACGAAGCGGGGGGAAGAATCTTAGAACTTGCTCTTTTAAAAGTATTTTGTGAAACTACCCTTTTTCCTTAAGTTGAGTTTGTGAAGGTACCGCTAAACGGTAGTAAATTTGCCCTGGACAGACCCCTGAAGACGGATCATGGGTTAAAGTCCCCTTGCCATCAATCTAACCATGGGAGATTTTTGTGGTTTTTGTCGTCGTGTAACGCAAATGTGGATTAGTTCCATCAAAAAGTCCTCCACAAAGGCAAATTTCTCCAACTTGATCCAACAGTATCCTTGCTTTTTGTATTAGGTTCAAAACTTCAGAGTTGAACATTGGTAAGACGTAAACTTAAATTTGGGTCAGCAGTTCAATGGTGGTTATAAAATAAAATAAAATATAGTACACTATTACAATAAGGTCATTTACAATACAATAATCATAATATAATATTCCAAACTATCAAACACTTATCTACAAAAACAAAGTTTCATGAAATTACTTGAATTCATGCAATATATTTATTTATTTATGACTATATTTTTATAATGCATTCATATCTTAAAAGTACAATGAATAGTAAGATTTTAAATTAAATTTGAGAATTAATTTTACACCAGAAAATTTATTTTAATAAATTTTTAAAACATAATAAAAATTCAAGTTGGACTTTTTTTTACGTGCCATATGTGCATAATGGTTACATTTGGGGTTTTATATATTTTAACTGTTTTCAGAATTATAAGTTTTGGACACTTTAATAAACTTTTGGACTGTTTGAAACATTTTGGTCAGTTTAGAACAAAGAATTTCTTGTATCTTATCCTAATCTAATTAGGATGGCAAAACCAACTGATTCCTATTGAAAGAAACACTGAAGCTTGCCAGACCATCAGAGTGAGAAAATAGACTTAAAATGAAACATTACAAGTTATAATAAAGTAATTTAATAAAATTTTCACAGCCGACTGAGTAACTGAGAAAAAATGAATGTCTCTAAAACCTGTAAGAAAATGTTCTATGAATTGAAAAATGGATGACAGAACTAAAAATTATGTTTAATAGTTTATTTTCTTTACTAGTAGGAAAACTATCAGCATTATTAAAAATCAAATAAGGAACTGTTTCAAGCAGCAAATATTCCCAATTCAAAAAATGTTAAATATATTAAATATATAGTATATTAAATAAATGTATAGTATATTAAATGCTCAGACACCAATACATTTGTAGGCATATATAGTTCCATGCAGATTTCATACTAAAATGAAGTTTTGGGATATATAAAAAAAGTAAGGAAGTAATTGAAAGTTTTGGAAAGGCAGTATAATGATAAGCATCATTTTCAAATTGTTTAGCAAATCCATGTTGGATCCATGTAAACAATAAGATATTTCTGCGTACGTACGATGCTGTATCTGGACTATTCCTACTTGGAAACAATTGTAAGAAAAATATATGGTTTGATATAACCTTGTCACTTTTGGAAAAACTTATAATCATAATTCTCCAAAATCTTTACTTTCTTATTAGTCTTATTTACTCATTATTCTAATAAAAATGGAAAAAAAAACTTTATGGTTGAATTAAAATCAGGAAAAAAGGGAAGGGGCTATAAAAATGCAATTTAATCATGTAATCGCAAAAGTCTGTTGAATACTATTTTGACAAAATGTAAAACCCACAAAAAATATAAACATTTATAGCATCCTAAAAGGATAAACACTCCCTGATATATCATAATTAATTTTTTTTGAAATAATAACTTAATATTTCAAGATTAAATATTTTTAAAATTACATTATAAAGATAAAACAATGCAAAAGAAAAAAAAGTGAAAAAGGACACTGAATAAAAAAATGTAGAGAACATATACAAGAACATGTACAATGTAGAAAACAAATACAAGAGATTATTTTGTATGTAGTAAAATTATTCAATAATGATAATTTTCATGGAATGTTTAAAGTAAAAATGTCCAAACTATCTTGAAATACAGAAAAGTTTTAATTAAGTAAGATTAAATTCCAGTTTAAAAATAAAACTATTATTGTTTGAAAATATGGAAGACTTAGATAGCAAAACTGATCAATGAAACCCATGTTTATTTAACACAAGATTTTATTGTCTCACAAAAAAAACTTATTAGTGAATGACCCTAGTAGCCAGGTTGACAATCTTAGCAAAATAGAAAAATTTGGCAGTGTGTTTATTTTTTTAGAAATGTAACAAAAATTGAAAAATAATAAGAAATAAAGTTTAAAATGTGACAAAGAATCTCCTACCTGATTAGATTAAAATTAAATAGAAATTTCTGAAATAAACTATTAAAAAAATGCTAAATAAAATTAACACAGTTAATTTATTTCTAAAAGAATTTTTTAAAAAAACCAATTCAATACACAAAATAAATGATTAAATGAAATAACTTAAAATGACAATTAACACATGAAGAAAATAAGTAATTACCTAATGTTGAGTCCAATGAAATTCGTCCAACTAAAGACATAATCTCCTCCTAAGTACATTCCAATGTATGTAATTAAAATATTCTGTGTGGGGACAGAAATAAATAAAAACTTGTAAATAACAATTATATATATATATAAACATATAGATAGATACACACACACACATCATGATCTATAAGATGCAATTTTATAAGACATAAATATCCAAGAATCACAATGATTTTACAATCCGTTCCTGCCATGTTCGTGGGTATAACCAAAAAATCAAAGACTAATATTTTATCCTGATAACATTCCATCGGCCATCCTCATGAGCCTGATGTGTCCTTGCCTCCAACTGAATTGCCCGTCATCTCTTCAGAGTCTTTAGACTCGAAACATCCAGAAGTTCAAGGCTCCGATATTGTTAGACAAATAGAGTCTCAAAGGTATGAGGTTCGATTTTCGGTCGTTGATCTCATGCATTCAACTTGCGTAGGTGACGTCATGGTCTGCGGGGATCGGCCAGTTTATTTTCATTTGCTGTTGGTCGCTCTTGCGTAGATCATGACGTCACCCATTATCTGTATTTAAGCTTCTGTTGAAGCAGATCATTTGGGTATTCTTTCTTTTCGTCACTGTTTGTTGTTGTTGTTACACATCCCCCTGGAGAAGGAAAGCCTAAACCAGGTCCAGAAGGCCTTGTCGCGTCAGTTCCCCATATATCTGCAGAAAGTCCCGATCAATCAGCAGCTGCTTATAAGAAGCGCCAAGGCAAAAAAGAAGGTGATCAGGACTAGCAGGTTGTAAGCAGGAACAAGGTTGGAAAGTCTTCTCCCCATTTTGAAACCTTAAACACTTAAGATGGCCACTACGAAATCTGGCCATGGTCGACTGGAAAGGCCAAGGACCGCTGCATGTTAATGATAGGCCAGTGCGGTTGCCAGCATACCGCTGATGGGATGGAGTACGGCGCCACACTGGAAGGCAAACGATGTTTTCCCAGGGAGTGGATCTCAGTGGGAGTAAGACGGTTCAAACAGTTCATAAGAAGATCACAGCCATTCTTGGCGAGCACATCAGCTGTCTCATTGCCATGTACCTTGACATGCGATAGGATCCATTGGAGGCTTATTGGTGTCTTCAGGCCTATCTCAGATAAAAGCTTCATAATCTCCTGGCCAGGAATATCCAATATTTCCCGCCAGTTCCTGAAATACTGAATAGCACTCCTACTATCGGTCAATATCCAAATGCAATTATTATCAGTTGTCTGGGCATAATTAAGGGTAGTTCCAATAGCCATGATCTCAGTTTTAAAGACTGAGCAATTGTCAGGGTTTCGGATACTGATCCTGACTTCACTATCATTGCTGTTGACAAAAACACCACTCCCGGTTCTACCGTCTTCCAACTTGCTACCGTCAGTGTAGATGACCAAGGCGCCAGAAGGGATACTATTGACAACCTCTACGGCCAACTGTTTCATCAGGTCTGGATGGTCTACCTGTTTATTGGCTTGAGATCTCAGATTGTCATTAAAACTGATGCCCCTAAGGGTCACCGTAGGAGGCAAACAATTTAGAGTGGTTGAAGGAACGACCTCAAATTCAATAAACCTCTCCTTTCTAGCATATTCCAATGGGGTGTGTCATTTCAAACGCTGACTGCCTCTCCAATTCAAGATGTATGCAGCTGTCCTGTTAGAATCACCAAGGCTCATTAGTTTATTAAAATATTTAAAGGAACCAATTCTAAATCTCATTGCCAGAGGCATAATATCTGCCTCATATAGTGCCACTTCATTGGGGCAGCTATTCCTTAACCCAGTGATTATTCTAGCTGCACTCGATTGGACACGATCCAGGATCTTTAAATTAGAGGCAGAAGCGGTTTGAAATATTTGATAGCCATACTCAAGAATGGGCCGCACGAGGGAACAATAAGTATGTCTAAGAGTAGAGGCATCAGCGCCCCAGTCTCTACCCGAGATATACTTCAAAATTTGTAGGCGCTTTCTCGCTTTGTCTGCATTTTCTCAATATGTTTCCTACAATTTATCTCAGGATCCAAAGTAAAACCGAAGTAACTTGGATGTTTGTCACAGCCCAGTAACTGATCAGAAAGATATACAGCGGGAGTATAATTATATAGGTGTATATTTGTGGTGAAGAAGCTACTAATAGATTTTGAAGGGTTAAAGTTTAACTTGTGGGAGAGCGAAAAATTCCTTACAGCCTCCAAGGAACCATTAGTTTAAGATTCCAATTTGCCTATGTCTGAACCACTAGTCCACAAGACAATATCGTCTGCAAAGATGCCAATCTGACATGGAGAAACAGTTTTTTTTAAAGTTATCTCTATGCTATGCTATGCGGTCATTTGAAAGTTATCTCTATACTTCTTGGTTAACAAGGAGGATTTACAAAGTTCCCATGTTTTATTTGTGAGTGGGACAGCCGTAACAAGTCACAACATTGGGTCAAAAAAGAATGGCCGAAAAGACAAAATCTTGACCCAGGCACCAAGAACGGTATTCGAAACAGCCTAGTTGATCCCAAAAAAGTATTGTTATCTCCGCTACATATAAAATTAGGTGTAATGAAGCAGTTTGCCAAGGCTGTTCCAGAAGACGGCGATTGCTTCAAATACCTGTTCAAAAAGTTTCCAGGTTTATCCCAAGCCAAGTTGAAAGGGGAATCTTTGTTGGTCCAGATATCCACAAACTCATGAAAGATAAAGATTTTGAGACTAACATGACAGAAACACGGAAAAAGAAGCTTGGGTTGCTTTCAAAGATGTCGTCAGTAAATTTCTGGGTAACTACAAGGATCCTGATTATAAAGAAATTGTCATGAAAATTCTGGAAAAATTTAAAACTTTGGGTTGCTCCATGATTGTCAAAATGCATTTCCTTCACTCACATGTGGACTTTTACACCGAAAATTTAGGAGCAGTCAGCAAAGAACAAGGGGAAAGGCTCCATCAAGTTATCAGAGATATGGAGCATAAATATCAATTAAGATGGGACAAGAACATGCTTGCTGACTAGTGTTGGATGATAGCTAGAGATAGACCTGAGATTAAGCATAAAAGATCATCAAAATAAGTTTCAGAGGAAAACGAGTATGTGCTTAAATATAAACTTTTTTCTTTTGTTTGTTTTGTTCTTTGTTTCAAACTTTCATATACACCTACATAATATTTGTTATTGTTGGTTAATCGTCAATTTTACGTTAAGTTATCTTTAAAAAAAATTTAAATGGTATGCTGGTGATTTTCTTCTAGAAAGTTATGTAAAAAGTTTAAACACATGAAACTAATTGTTTTTCTCTCGACCAGACGTGACTTGTGCAATCTGGTAACAGTATTTTTTGTTCATTCTAACCAATTAAATATTAGCTGATCACTCAAAAATCAATTTACTTTCACAAGATTAAATTTTACATAGATCAAAATGAATGAAGACGACAGTTACCAGATAGTACATACAAAATTGTTTGAGAGAATTCCTTTCCAAATAGGATTTTAGTAAAAACATTAATATCGATTTTACAAAAAATCTTGAAGCGATTGGGGAAAATGAAGGTCATTTTCAAAATCAGCACATCAAATAACATATAAATCAACAATAACTTCTCTTGCATTTTTCAAAAACTTCAATTTCGCAGGCTTGTGTAATTCTACCGAATTGTTGGCAGTCATTGCTATTGACCTCTCCATAGTTTTCTCCAATATTTTTGATACAACATTATTTATTACAACAACCTAATCTCAAAACGAAAGGCGCATTTGAGGAGTACGATTCATGTGATTTTATCGCTGATTTTTTTTCCAGCAATTACTACTACGGATTTCATTATTTTTTATTGTGATGATTATTTACAAAATGCGAAGAAGAAAATAATTTGTCTAGAAACAATAAAACTTTTAATGAATGACTTTACCTTTATGACACCAATAATTGTTGTCGTAAGAGCTGAGTTGTAAGCTGTACATAAAACTGTTGAGTACATCAATACGAATCCCATAAAGCATGAAAGCAAGAAAGAAGTCAGGAACATCATGTCTGGCCATTTGTAAAAGGCAAATGTCTACAAGAAAATAAAATGAAAAAATTGAGAACGTCACATCATAAATAAATAAACATTTGCCTTATTTTTTAATAATAAATAAATATTTACATTTTTTCAAACAACTAATAATTATTTGCTTTCTTTTTAACATTTAATTTAGAATTCCGAATATTTCTTAGCATTACTATTAACAGATAAACTTGCCAAAAGAACAATTAGTCACCACTGACAAATGAAGCATTTCATCAGTTCGCACCAGAAGTGGGTTTGGTAGGTTTTAGGGCCGAATCATTGATATGGCCCTTACGCAAGCCAGCATGCTTATTTAAACATACTAATACCAGGTATTTTGTTTCACTCAACATCTTCATGATATTTCTATTTTTAAATGACAATACCAACTTGGACTAGAAGAATATGTAGCTGATTTTATTAACAGAGCAACAAAAAAAAACAACATTTTAATAACTTTTGATCTAATGATGAGATTTTCACGCACTATGACTCAATAATTTATTATCTAACAATAATTCAATTATTTCAATAATTAATTATCTAACCTTAAAGATGCTAATTAATTAGTCATATTTTAAGTTTTGAAATCAGACATAAAAACATACTTTCTCTGAATGAACATAAAATTTATTTCAGGGGATTGGGATTTTAGACCCTCAAAATATGAGGGCAATTTGAGAAATATGGTCCCAATAGTTAGGCAATATAAGTGTTTGAAAATTTGATCCTCTTGCTAATTTCGCATCTTGCCATTTCAAAGAAATTGTATTTTAAAATTTTTATTTCTCAAGAACTATTTGACCAATTCCCTTCATATTTTGGATTTTCTCATTTAAAATTAGCTAAATTAAATTATTTCAAAAATTTTTATACTTCACAATTATAATTTTAATATGGAATTATCTATGGGAAAACCATTTTTAAAATTATAAATAAACTTTTCTGATTCACTTCATTAGTTGCGGAGATGCAGATAAAAAGTGCACAAACGTGAAATTAACCTAAATTTTTACCAACTTTTCTCATTTTTTTTATGCTGAATAAAATTTTAAAAAAGTTGTATTTTTAACTTTTCAATTCTCGAAAACAAATTAATTGATTCAGTTCAAATTTTGTATACTGTCACTTAAAATTCCATAGTTAAAAATGTTAGGATAGTAATTATAAGCAAAACTTTGCATAATTTACAATTAAAAAACTTTTTTATAATTCAAATACTAAAATAAAAAATCATGAATAACTATAATAGTTTATATTTTATGTAGAGCTATTTTTTGATAAACAAATTTTATAATTGTGTGGCAAAATTATTTGATTAATTAGCTTAAACAGTTCTAGCTAGAGATGTGGTGAAATAAGCAAGAAGTGAAATTAACATTATGGGGTCCAATTGACCCTAATGTGTCTATTGAGACCATAGTTTACAGATTGTGGCCGATATTTTGAGGATAAAAAATTTAAATACATTAAAAAAAGCAAGTTCATAGAGAGAAATTGCTTTGTTGTGTCTGGTTTTGTATCTGATTAATACAACAGAACAAAATATATTTATAATATAAATACAGACCATATAAATTGGGCTAAACATGTAATTAGGGATGAATTTATAAAAAAAAAGTTGTTACACATTTATTCTGTTTTTAACTTTTGCTTGAAAAATTTAGGAAAGTCACATCCAAAATAATATACATTTGTAATTTAATCTTGTTGTTCATAAGTAAGAAATGCCGCTAAAATTTCACAAGAAATTTAAGCTTAAATATACAAATTATAATACTAATTTTGAAGTCAAATTATGTAGTAAGTTCTGTGAAGAATTTAAATATTATAAAATTAAATTAAATCATACTAAAAAACTTTTGACAGAAAGGAAAAGTGCCTATGAAAATATTATATGCTATTGAAAAAAATTTTGTAATTAAAAAAAAATTATAATATTCCATATACTACACAAAATAACTACTAACTACAATTAAAAACTATAAACATCACTTAAATTTTATCTCATAGAAATCGCTGCATTCTAATTTTGAACATTTTTTTTCTTAAAAAATTATTTCCTATTAATCATCCGTTAAATCATTTACCTTTCAAAAAAAAAAATCATGAAAATTTGTTTTAAAATATCAAGCTAGTGAAATGATTTTAAAGGTGTATTACATGAAATAATTTTTAAAATACCACTTACATGAAAGCCATAATAAGGATATTTATTTGTTAAATTATAAATAAATCATGAAAATTTTTTTAACACAAAAAATACCGATTTTGAGATTTTTAAAAAAATTGAGAAAAAAATATTGTTAAGAAAATTCTAAAATTTTAAAATTAAGGGCATGCATTCCTATTCCCTAGCCTGCAATGCTACCCCTATAATAGTGGACCACAGAAACTCCAGTTTAACGAAGATTTTAGAAAAGAATTTTTGCCCAAAGTATTAAATCCAAATTTTAATGCATTTCTTTAATTTTTTTTTCAAAAAAAAAAAAAGGTTCTCTGCCACTGCAGAATCCATTAGACGCAATGCTTAAATTTTTAACATTATATTTCGTTATTGCTTGAAATCGAATAAGGTCAGGGTGTTATTCAAAATAATAACACCCTCACCTTATTCTATATATTGTATTATATATATTGCCACCTTATTCTACATATATTGTTTTTAAGTATTCTATTCAAAAGAAAATCATTGTGATTTAGACATGATTAATTTATGGTTATATTTTGTTCATAAAAACAGTCAAAAAGAATTTAAAAAAGCAAAATCATTTACCTTTTCTACTTCACCTGAATACCACCACAATATAGTTAAAGGCATTATCATGAATAAGGCATTATAAAAGAGCAAACCATATTTGCCCAACTCCTAAAAATTATAAACATAAATAAAAAATCACGCAGATCTATATAAAATGATTATTGTAACAATCAATACAAGTTAGAATTTAGAGTAAAATTTGGTTGAATTCTTAGTTTAAATCATAATTCATCTAAATATAATACATAAACATTTTAAGAGGACACTATACTGCAGGGGAAACTTTTCGTCTCAAATTCTCCTTCACCTCAATAACTGATATAAAATTGAAAGTAAAGAAAAAGTGAGTTCAGACAAACATAGAGTGAGCCATAAAGTTTCAAATACTGGTAAGAAATTTTTAAAATATCGAAATAAAAACATGAGAAGATAATTTAGGATTACGCATTGGAGAAGTTTTCTTCCAATAATTTGTTTGCATTTTGATATTTAGAAGAAAAAAAATTTTCTGCCATTGAAACATCATGACTTACTCTAGGTCTGCCTAAATTCACATAAATTAGTTATGGAGATGAAAAAGAATTCGGGATGAAAAGTTTCCTTCACGGTATGGCGTATTCACGAATATAGAGCATGTTTGCAATATTGTAGGATTTTCTTCCTCCTTCATGTGCATTATTTTTCCAAAGAATAATATAGTGAAACATTATTTCCTTCATAAAAAAAAAAATATTAAATATTCAGATCTAATATGTGCAACACAAGATATCATACTATCATTTTTCAATGTAATCATGACACATATATGCATCACTTTTTCGGCACTATGATTGTGTTGTAAATTTAATACTCAGTAAAATAAAACTAGTTATAAAGGTAACACATATTAAGAAAAGTTGTCATTATAACAAACTTATTATACAAGGTGTGTAGCCAAATTTTTCAACAAAAAATAAGCACCTTTTAAACATTAAAATAATATATTTAAGCACTTTAAAAAAATATCATAATTAGAGAATGCGTATTAATAAAAAAAATTTCTTCCGATTGTTAAAAGTTCTTCATAACTACCTAAACAAAATGCAAAATAGTTTTCAAAGAACTTTACATGATCATGATGAAATAAGTAGTTACTGTCAAAGAACTCTTTTCTTGATTATATTGGCAACCAAAAAAACAATTTATACATAATTTTAAATAGATTCAATACTTAGTGGCTCATTTTTTTTAATTAATAATTACTTTATTTAATTATGTTAAAAATTTTAATTCAAAAATAGATTTAACTTAACTATTACTTAAAAAGGTTATTGATTGTATTTTTTAAATTTAAATTAAAGTTATTTCTTCTTCTTCTCATTGGCACAACAGCCCAGGATGGGCCTTGGCCTTCTCAACAAGCCTATGCCCAGACATTCTTCCCTTAGCCAAGGTTCTCCAGTTAATTATCTTTAAAATTTGTAGGTCCTTTTCAAGGCAGTGAAAGTTATTTATAAAAGCATAATCAGCAGAACATTAACAAAATTAATATTATTGATCATGCCGAATTTATAAAGATAAGTAAAGAAGAAACAAACTAAGAAAACTTTAATAAACTCATATTACAAATGTAAATTAGTGAATGGTCCCTAATAAATTTTTATTAAAATTTGTTACTTTCAGTATTACTTTAATGAAATGATTTTTCAAAAAAATTAAATAATTTTGAAATGTAAATGTAAATAAATATTGAAGCTAACCATTTTTGCCAGAAGATATTATAATGTAGTCCCTACACACATAATATTAAACAAATCTGAGATAAGTGAATTTTTTATTTCAATTGTTTTTAAATCAAATCATTAAGCAATGAATTTTTGAAATGACAAATCTGAATAACATAAGACTTTTTGCTGCATTTAAAATATTGAAAGTCCCTCACTTCATACTTCTTCAAAATCTTGCCTCTAAATATTATTAAGCTTTTTCATACAATAAATTAAGAGCACTGAAACTTTTAAAAGTAAAAATAAAACAAAAAAACTAATAAGTAAAAAAAAAGTAATAAAATACAATAAAAGTTTTGAAAAAATTATACAATTAGTGCTGGTCCCTCAGGTAAAAAATCTCATGTATAAAAAATTCAATTAATTCCTATGCTTATTAAATTAAATGAATAAAAGGAGATGGAAATTTTGAGGTGTTGAAGCTTTGTAATTTTTGACTACTCTGGGGAACCACATGAAACTACATAATTAGTGAATGATCCCCAAGTCAAGTTCAAAGAAGATCAATATCTCGCCAGTAACAAAGATGATGGCACTGGACCAACGAGGAAATTAACAAGAGAAGTAAAATTTTCCTTTGCTATTGGAGAAAAAAAATTTAGTTCGACACTGTGACAAGTGAAAATTCGAAATATTGTTCGGTTCGATTTCAGAGGGAGGAAAATGAAGCCTGAAATTAAGATTCTCCAGCAAAATGCAGAAGAGTTGTATATGAGAGTGCAAGAATTTTTCCCACTTGCAAGTATTTCATCAAACATGTAAAATTATTGGCGCTTTCAGATACAAATTAGCTAGCAACAAAAATATTTTAATAAGTTCTAGTTCTTAAAACTGATTTTTTTCACAGTTTTTTTTCCCATTAATAGCAAAATTATTAAGTAACAAAAATTCAACAACATTTTCAAAAATCGTGTTAAAAATTCATGATCATATCATTTTTTTTCCAAAAAATATTTAGAAGAATTCATGAACATTTTTGAGAAATGTTTATAAACTGTAATAAGAAATCAATGACTAATAAACAAATAACTAAAGCAAGTTGCAAGTGCATCAAGTGTTTAAGTGAAAGATATTACATTAAATGTCTTAAAATTTTTTTAAAAAAAAAGACTCTTACTAAAAAAATTCTGATTTTCTGAACTAAGAAAGACTGGGCTCATTTCCAATCATTAAAATTAAAACAAGCAAATGTCTGAAAAATGAGATTTTAATAATCTTCAATTAAGGGAAGAACTAAATTATGCTAAATTTGAATTGATCCAAAAAAAGGTTATTCAATTATGGGACAAAAGACAAAAATTGATGCCAATACATTTGTTCTCAAAATTACAATATCCTAGAAGATATAACATAACAGGCCAAATTTTTAAAGATTTTCATTAGAACTATATAGCTAAATAATGATAATAGATCAGAATAAATCCTGTGAATAAATAAACTCAAAAGTAGAACTGCAATCACTTCTAATCTCTAATATTTCAAGTAAAAATATCTCTAATAAATAAGTAATAAACAAGAGCTTTTACTTCTTGTAAGAAAAAAAAATGGGAGAAAGAAAAAGAAAAGAAATACGCTGAAATCTGAATCAGCATTTTTTTCCTTTACAGATAAAATAAGAATAAAAACAATTTGCATAAAATAAATACTATAGATATTTCTTGAATATGGAATAATATAAGCTGTAACATTAAAAAATTTGATTTGAGATTGAATATATTTAAAATCTTCTTAATCTGAGGCAGAGAGCATTACAAAATTAGATGAAATAGGTATTAATTTTCTACTAATTTAATGGGAAAAAAAAGAAGAAAATTGGAGAGTTAAGTAATTTGTTTACTTTTAAACTTTAAAAAACAATTTTGCTGGTTCATCCAAATTTGAGTAGAATAACTAGTTTATATAATTAAGCTTACATTAGTGTTATTCCATAACAATACTCTTCAGTGAAAACTGAAGAAAAGGGGCAAATACAAGGCACATTACAAATTTTTTAGTAACAAATCAGCAATTATAACAAAAATACAGGGCTTTGTGCAGATCATAGTAGAAAAAGTAGTGAAAAAAGTGACTAATATTCCTTAAAAAGTAATAAATAGTGGCTTTATTAAAAACAGTGTTAATATTCAGGCAACATCCTAATAACCTTAAGAATATACAACTTAAAGGAAAAAATTTGGTTTAGAAACATTTATTGTTGTAGCTGTTTATTGCTTTAATTTACCGCTATTGAAATTTTTTTTTTGTAAAAATTACATAATAAATATTTTCTAATTTTTCCCAACTAAAAAAAAAGTTCATGTTTGGTTTTAGCTGTTATGGCTTAAAGTATTATATCAAAGAAGCAGTGAAAGTATACAACAAAAATATTTTCGCTATCATGTAAAGTCAGTATACATTTATTGAGATGTGCTTCTCTTCCGGAGTCAAAACACAATGTGTTTTTAAACACAAGGTGAAGAACTGAAAAAAACGTTAAATAACAATTATTGCAAAAAAAAAGTACTTTTACAATAGAAATGGCGCAAAACGAATGTGGCAAAAAGTTATTAATGAAATAAAAAATAATAATATTAGATTAAAAATATCAAAATTGGAAATATGTGCAAAACTGGAGACATGTGATCATTGTTCTAAAGGGATTGAATTCGAAATATGCATATGTAAAATCTTTGTATAAAAAATATAAAGTGGAATCACAATAGAACCGTTAAAAGTGACTTTTGAATAAATTGTGAAAATGTTTTGAATAAATTAGCAAAATTGTCATTACAACATCGCATTAATCAAAAATATAACTCTGTATTAATATGAAATTAAATTAATGCAAAAACTGTCGGAAAACATTAATTTACAACATTTTTTTTTTTTTTCATTTTTTTTATTTCTAATGGCAGGCCAATTTAAAAGAACAAAATGGATAAAACAACAAGAAAAACAAGGCAAAAAGAGATAAATAAAATTGAATGCATAGTGACATGCAATTAATTTACAACATAATCACCATGAATCGAGTGTGTAAAAACACTTAACTCTAAGTTGAAAAAGGCTAGTAATACATTGCATTAAAAAACCACGAGGAAAGGGCTGAAAAAATTATAAAAATTTGCCTGAGAGCCTAAGGTAAACACTAGAAATAAAACTGTAAGGAATCACAATGAAATCAAATACGTCCAAGAACGATTTTCGAATAAATCATTAACAAATAGCTGTTACTGAAATACATGCTACATAATAAACATTGTATTAATTAAAATATGGAGATTTAAAAACCATGGGAGAAAAAATTATTCGAACTTTGTCAATCATTTGACTGTTTAAAACGATTATAAAACCAAGTAAATTTATGGTGAATCAATTTGAAATTCTCCAATTTAAAATTCGTGTGTCATAAAATTGTATAAAAAACAGCATAATTTGTAAAACCACATAGAAAGACTGACAGCATTCGTAATAACAACTGACATCAAAAACAATAAAAAAAACATCAAATCATTTTTTTTTTACCTTCTTTATTTGTGACATTCACCTGAATTAGTATTGAAAACGATCCAGTTTAAACTGTATGTTAGAATCTCTGATTCTCAATTAAAACAATAAAAACAAAAAATATTGTTCAAATTATGAAATTCTCTTATATTCACAACTCAAGAAGTATTTATGAGATCTCTCTGGTCCCATATCTCACAAATAAACTCACCAACTGAATGCATAACAAAATTAAATAATAAGTGAAAAAAAAAGAATTCTAAAAAAATTATGAAACAGTAGCAATGACGATGCATGCGCACTGTTTACTATTACTATTGAACACATTTGAAGAGTGTGATGACGTCCAAATAAGGTGCGCACAACATCAAACCCAAAATAACACCCATTTTGCCAATGGGTAATAAAAGTAAACATTTTATTTACGTTTTTCCTTGGGAAGAATGCACTCTTTTATGCACTTTTAATGAAAAATAAGAACTTTTAAGAGTGCTTAATCTCTATTATGCAAAATTATGCTCTACTGAGCACATTTAAAGAAACCTACAGGAAAAGGAAGTTCGATTCAAGGAGGAATACAAAAAATTTCATGTTCTGCAGCTTCACAACAGATAAGAAAACAAAACTTCAGATAGATAGATGATGACTAAAATCATTCCTCGATACAGTGAATGGCTCTCTTGCATTCCAAGAGAAATTGATTTGAAAGTGGAAATTTCTATTTTTCTTCACATATTCAATCCTCTTGTATGCCCCATGCATAGTCCTTCTTTACAAGAGCAAGAGGATTGTAATATTACGGGTTAAGGGAAATGTGAAATCTTTTTTTTTATTGAAATGAGATAGTGAGATAAGTGACTAAGCCTTTAAAACAGTGAGAAAAACAATGAATAAAAGTTACTATTTTTTAAGATAGTGGCATTAAGTGAGAAAAGTAACTCACGCCTAGCCCTGAAAATGCCATTTATATATGCTATGATACTGCCTTACATTATGCCAATCAAAATTTAGCCTTTCATGTTTTATTTTATTAGAATATAAGTCTTAAAAAAATAAGACACTTTTAAAACAAATTATCTTTAAATTAACAAATTATTAAATTATCTTTCGATTTTCAAATTTTACATGGCTTTTGGCAAGCAATTGAGTAATTCTAGTTGCAGCCTGTCATTTCAGAATTTTTGTTTAAAATTTTTTGAGTCTCACACTCTTAAAGTTTATCCAAAGTTGCATTTTGCTCATAGAAATCTGCATTAAAAAAAACTTGATATAGCTTGTGAATAAAAGCTCTAACAAAAAAAAAGGAGGTTGCTAGAAAGGGGGTAACTAACATCTTACTAACAGAGAGTTTGAAAATTTAAATTTTAGCATCATGCAACTCCAAAATTATAAATTCTTTGTTTGTGGATGTTTGCAAACACATGATCTCGAGATATGTAGAATTCTGCAGATTAAGGGGAAATTAGCATGCCTGATTTGATCAAAACTATTCTTTTTTTTCTATTACAAGAATTTTAAAAAATTTAAATATTATTTTATACATAATTTCATAAAAATGAAGTATAAAATCATTTAAATTGAGTTTTAAAAGAAATAAATTACAGAAAAAAATTCTTAAATAACTCTTCAAAAGTAGATAAAATAAAAAACAACACATAGCATGGATAGGGTGCGTAGCCAAATTTTTCAACATCTTTAAACTACTTTAAAACAATCAAAAATATTTTTAAGTATTATATACATCAACAAAATTCAAAAAAATTTTCAAAGACTTTACATAATCATGATAAAATAACTAGTTTCTGACAAAGAACTCTTTTCTTGATTATATTAGCCATTTTAAAAAGATCAAGAGGTTCTTAGGTCTGATATAACAGGTGGAAAATGAAGCCTGAAATAGAGAGTATCTTGCAAAATGCAGCAGAGCTGCACACGAGAGTGCAATTATCTCAACGAACTCGCAAGTATTTCATCAAACAAGTAAAATGATTGGCGCTTTCATACACTATGGATCGACGGTGCGCTGAAATTTGTGGTTGAATGAATTGTGAGAACGTTGAATAAAACAATGTGAAAATCATCGTTTCATTATATATCATTCGTATCACATCGTATATCATTTTCGAAAAGGGAAAATTAAGCACTTTTTAAAAACACCTATAAGAGCTTTTAAAAAACGAAAATCGAAAATAAGCACCATTAAGCACTTTTTAAAAATGCTAAGCATCATGACAGAGGAAAATTCTAAATACATTATGATCTATTTAAATACATACTCTAGCATCCAACTTTTTTTTGACACAAATATTATTGGCAGCAGTGAAGAAGTCATTGCACAAAACAAACAAATAGCCTTTGAATTCAAATGAAAGATCATCTCTAAAAAACATAATAAAATGAATGATAATATTCTGAGCTTAAGAAAAAGTTTAAAACATAAAATTTTGTAGCAGCATAATATTCTAAGTGCAATCTAATAGTAGATCCTTAAATCTGCAATGAGATAATACATGTATAAAGAAAATTGTTAAATCTGAGTCTGATTTTGCTCACCTAGATTTAGAAAGTGATGTAGATATCACTTTAATTTTTATTCAATAAACTTTATTTGGATCACAAAAAGTTTGACAAAGTTTCTACTTCTATCTTAGATTTAAAGTTTCGTAAAAAAAATTTCAGAAGGCTTTCTCATTTTTTCAAAAGTATTTTTAATTTTTTTTAACTTAGCCTTTTTTTTTCTTGTGCAATGAGAAATTTAGTTATAAAATTTAAAATTTTAAAAGCAGTTATGCCTAAATCTACATTTTCATTATAGAAAATTTTACTATTTACATTTCAAAATCATAAAATATCAGTTAAATAACTATATATATATATATANTGGTTCTAACTATAATTTATTGTAGCCTAAATCGGGTGCAATTTTTGAAACAACAGTTTAGGGGGAATATTAATTCAAAATACCAATTCATAATTAATATTTAATTTCTCTCCCTTCAACTTTAAAAAAACCAGTTTTCCTCTTATAGGACACTACTTGAATATTATATATATATATATATATATATATATTCTACATAAAGTTTATTTTTTCTGAGGTTTTTATTTACTTATTGGATAGGACATACTAAAAAAATTTAGTTTAAAAATTTAAAATTTGTGAAACAATTATGACATTATCTACATTTTAACTATACATTTCATTTACATTTCAACTATATTTAATAACAAAACAACAACAAAAATTTAAAAATAGATTTTTTTCATTGAGTCTAATTTCTTAAGGTAGGGTCTCCTTCTTCAAAAGTCTCCAATTACATTGTCTGAAAATTTGTCACATGTAAAAGTAGAAAATTTATCACATTTATTCTTCTAATCTTGAGATTTTTAAACTAAAAAATTTGCATGTTCAGTTACAATTGTATTGAGATTATTATATTAAATACCCTTTAAATGGTGAAAATAGAAATCTTTTTTGAGTGCTATATAATTTTTTTCCCCTGTCTGTTTAAGTTACATTAGTTGATGCAAAATAAAAGGTCATTCATCAATTTTGACTAGCATGTAAATAAAGTTAGAGGGTATTTATAAAATCAATTTTATTCATTCATAGTATTTATTTTACAACAAAAGCTTTCATGGGTACTAGATCAGAATAGAATATATTACATAAATTATTTTATAAATTAACTCTTATTAACAGAAAAGGCTTAACGGAATTTTAATGAATAGAAAATGTATCAATTTTATTGCCATTAATAATCAAGTATCACAATTATTAGTTTACAAGCAAATAATCTCCCGGTCACTATTTTAAAATGGAGAATAATGCACAAATTATTTTAAAATTTAACCCTGGTGTATAGAAAAGACTGTTACAACAATTTTATGCAGAGAAAATGTATCAATTTTATTCATTTAGCACACTCCTTAGTTCGCAAACAAATGTTCTTTAAATTATTAAGTCAAAATGTCGAATTTTGCATATATTATTTTATATGTTAAGGGCATTTATCATTATTAATTTATATATCAGCAAAATTATTAATTGACAAAGAAATGTTTTTACAGTTACTTATTTAGAATGAAGAAGAAATGTATCAGTTTTACTCACTTAGCATAGTAATTATTTTATAAACAAATGTTCTTGAATTTAAGTAGACAGAGTAAAAAATAATGCAAAAATAAATTAATTAATTTTAAACCTAACTCTTGTGTGTTAAAAAGGCTGCAATAGCAAATTAAAGGAGAAATTTATACATTCTTAGTTTTGCTTTATATTTACTACCACGGATATATATCATAGATTGCATAAGCCCGACATACTCTTTGAACTTTAAAAACAAATAAGATAAAGACCAATAAGAGGGTGAAAGTTACTTACGCTGCAGCTATAATGGCACCTCCTACCATAGCAAGGACTGTTAATACGATGGGAAGCTTCTGGTGAACACTATTAAAATTCAAAATATCATTGGTACATTTTTCAATTATACAAAAAAAAATATGAGATAAATAATTAATATCATAAATTTCTAAAAAGCATTTCAAAAATTAGTATAAAAACTATTATTTTCATCATTACAATAATTCTAAAAAATAACAATTAATTGATGTGCACCAACAAAGAGACAGCTATGAACACAAGAAAATATTATTTCAAAAATTTAATACGAAATTTCAAAACACTTCTAAAAAAGTTTTTGGGGCTTAAATTATCCAAATCTAATAAAGGAGCATTATTGAAGCAATAAGAAAAAGTCTGATAATAATATGAATTATTAATGCAAAAGCATAATGGAAAGTGCTGTTGAAAATAAAACTACTATAAGAGCTGGGTTTTTACTTTTAAAATAGTTTGTTTAAAACACTTGTTTTGAACATGTTTAAAAATAGATTTTTACTATGTCTTTTAAAAACATTATTAGTTTGCCTAATGAATTCCACAAATTAATAATAAGTAATTAAAGCAGAAATAATTAAATTAGAAAAGCAAATTTATCTTTTGTACAAAAAGAGTATGGTAACTCAGTTTCATTTTCTAAATTTAGCAACAAAAGAAACTACAAAAAGTTGCAAATCTTCAAATCTGTTAACTATTTTCAAGTATAAAAAAAATAAGATTTTATTTTTATGTTTTTATGTTATAATAGCAAAATAAGAAATTGCTTATGTGTAGCTAAAGCAGCAAAACTTGTCTTGTAACAATACTCAAAATTCTTCATAAATAATTTATTTTCAATTACATAAGACTTTTCTATTATATGACCACTATTTGTTTTGTAAGAAATTGCAAAGCTAAAATTTCATGACTTGTCTTTGTAAAAAATAAACAGTACAAGAACAAAATTAAAAATTTCAATTCTTATAAGGTAAACATTCTATTTAGAATTCTTTCTAAAAATAAAATATTTTTTAAAGAAAGAGACAGTTGTTTATGTATTGTATTCAGAAAAGTATCGAAAAACACTTGACAAAGTATCAGCTACAAGTTTTCCACATTTCAACAGGTGGAAATAGAATAGCGTTAATTCTTATATGCTTACAAATAGAGAAACAAAAGTAATTCAAAACATCACCTAATACTGTAAAAATAAATAATAAAAAGAGGAGAATCATACGTTTTCAGTCCTCATAGAGTAAATATTTAGTTTTCCTTTATTAGGAAAGATAAAAGATTTTTTTAAAAACAGAAAAGAAAGATTTTTCAAAAAAAAATTAATAATACATAAAAAGTAACAATTACAACTTTCTCACTTTTCACTAGCAAGCTAGAGAATGTGAAAGGTTAAAAACTTTAAAAAAGGAACAAATAATTATTTAAATAATCACCTTCTTAATGTAAAAATAATAAACCAATAAAAATCAAAAATTTAAGTTTGCAATTCTTGAAAGGTAATGATTTCATTTCTAAATAAGAATAAAATATTTTTTAAAAGGAAAAAGAAAGAAGATTATTTAAAAAAAAAACAGAAAAACACACAACAGAGTAACAATCTAACATAGAAAACCCTTATTAAAAATAAATATATCAAACAAAAATTTATTTTAGGTCTGGCATGCCTAATTGTAATAAACAAACATTGGAAAATCCAAAATACTATTAAAAACACTTACTTTAGAATGAAGTATTCTCCTAACAATGTCATTAAAATGGTGAAACGCCGTAAGACTGTGAACATTGGAAGACTTTAAAAGAGAAAAAAAACAACAGGGTATAAAATGTTGTACATAATCACAAAGATTAAATGCAGTCAAATCAATAAACAAGGAACATTAAACATTTTGAACAAAATAGTAAAATTTTTAAATAAAAACTTTAAAAAAAAACTATATTAAATAAAATAATAATAAAATTAAAAAATAGTAAAATTAAAATGTCGTTTAAAGCAACTTAGTTTAATATAACATTATTTGAACTTTAGTAATCATCTATCTTTGATTTTTAAAAATAGATAAGGAAAGAATATATTTTAAATTTTAAGGAAAATGACTCCCTGTCAACAATGTATTCATATAATTCTTAAAAATGCAATTGTAAATCTAAGTCATAAGCTGACCTTAAAAGATTATTTTTAGACATCTGGAAGATTATTTTTAGACATTTTTTTTCGTCATTTTTAGTAAATAAGCAATTTACTTAATATCAATTTGGAAAAAGAAAAAAAAACTTTTAACCTATAAGCTATTAAACCAATTATGTTTATAATACTATTTAGCAATCATAACAAATATCAAGATATATAAAATGCACATTTTAGTTATTATTTTTATATTATGTATATCCTATTATATATATCCTACTTTATATTACTATGTGGAATTTTTAAATTAAATAGACAATAAAAATTTGTAGAATTATATTTATTTTGTCCATTTATATTTTAAAAGCTTAATACACTTGAAGGCAAAAATTTTATACTTGCAAAGCCTTTGCAATCAGCTAATGCATGCACAAGAAAATAATGCGTCGAGATTTAAATTGGTAATTGAAAAATAGAAATAAATCAAAAATTTTCATAACAAAGCAAAAAAAAAAAAATTCTTTTAATTTACCCATAAACTATTACAAATATTTGCCAAATGGAACTAAAAATTAATCCCTTTTTTAACATTCTTCACAATGTTAAAATTTTATGATTATTTGAAATTTTACATTTTTTTTAAATTTAAAATCTGATGCAGAAAATCCAAAGAAATCACTGATTTCTCATAATAGTGAGCAAACTCTCTGAAATTATGAAAAGTTTAAGAGGCATCAGCAGGAGGTAGAACTCTGTGAAAAAAGCATGTTTGGTGGAGCCTGAATTCACTAAAGAGTTAGAAACATAAAATCTTACACAATATGGACCACTTCCAAAATCTGAACAAATTTTTTTTTTTAATGTATTGCTTGATTTTCTTTAAAAAAAATCAACTCAAAATGAAACTACAACACCCTTTATGTATGCGCCAAATCAAACTATAGAGAAAAACGGCTACTTTAAAACATCTAAATTTGAAATGGACAACAAAATAACTACCGACTACAAATTTACTTGTTATTTTGCAACAGAAATCTATTTAATGCTTTACAAATCAGTTTAAATCCCTTTTTACAAATCCAAATCATTGTGGTGTTGTTAATGTTTACACAATTTTTATTCTAACTTATAATAACGGAATAAAAAAAAACATTGTGTACAGAACCTTTGAAATAATTTCTTTAAAAAAAAAAATCAATAATAATTATTATGAATGATCTGTACCTCCTAGTAGTATATTTCCTATACTATAGTGCATTTTTAGTTTTAAACTTCATACCCAAAAACATCAGAAATATGTTTCTTAAACAGTTTTATACTTTTTTTCATGTGGTTTCACAGACATTAAAAAGTAGTTATCAATTTTTAAAAAAAAAACTCAAAAACCGATACTAAAAAAAAAATTTCAATCAAAATTAAGACAATTTTTAAAAACTGTAAAAAAATACAAATTTTTTACAGTTTTGAATTTTTATGTAAAAATCCTTATTTTATTGCAATTTTAGGGAATAAAATATTAAATCATTTTTAGGTTTCATGAGACTAGATAAATTGAATAGTGAAATACAATGAATTAACAAAACAATAAATTCTTTTATACACATACCCATTAAAGTATGTTCATATTTTCCATCAATCAAACCTTCATTATCAAAAATAATATGGCCAATTTAATTAATTTCATTAATGGCTTTGTCAGAAAGTTCTCCATGTTGTTTTTTAAAAAAAAATATTCTCTTTCTTCATTGTGAACTTTTAATTTTACAACTGCGCAATCATTAAATTTAGTATTTATTTTTGTCAATGATATCAGATCATGTATCCCAGGTTTCAAATCTTTAAATTTTAAGATTATAGTGTGTGTCTTTTTCCCATTTATAAGAGAACATGTTATAAATATTTATAAAAAATGTTTCTAATAAATGGAGAGTCTTTTTGTATGAAATGACAAAATGAAAGCAAATTAATAATAATCATTTGAAAGGTAAAATATCTACAAAATCTGTAAAAAATTCAAATCTGTAAAAAATTCAAATCTGAAATAAAAAAAATACAAAATTTGATTGTGAACGTAGTGAACAATATACTTATGCACACAAACAAAGACATTTTAGAAGATATTTTCATAACACTTAATTTTAAATTTGTTTCTGTTCCATCAGCATTTTTATTTTTATAAGGATAACAGTATTTAAAAAAATTTTCCTTATAAATGGAAAATCTATTAAATTCAAAAACTGCTTTGAAAGAACTAAATATAAAAGTAAAAAGAGGAAGTAAAAAAGTTGACTTGATTAAATTAATGGCAAAAAACATAAAAATAACATATAAATATATTTCAGCTGATTTATTAAATTTACAGGTATAAAATTATTTGAAAGAAAAAAAGAAAATATTGTTGAACAAACCAATGAAGCGAAATAAAATAAAGAAAATATTTTATTCTTCTAATAAAAAATTATCTGACAATGCGTTTACAAATAAAATATCCACACAAAAAATTAAAACAGAAGTAAATCTTGAACAGTTTTTTATTCCAGATTATGAAATCATTCAAATAAAATGTCAATATATCAAAAAATATAAAGTACATCAAAAGTATTGCAAAACTAAACAATTTAATCCAAATAGACTGGAACAGAACTATAATACTTTAAAATACTTATTTAGAAAAGCTATTGGAAATATTGATGGAAAGGAAGATATTATTAGTAGACAATCCATCATTAGATAAACCTTTTCATCCAAAATTAATGTCTACGAAAGCTTTGGAAGATTATTGAGAAATATTAAATACAGTTAAACCCTGCTATAGTGAATATGTTTTATAGTGAACTCCCGGGTATAGTGAACGAAATGTTCGGCCCCATGCCTTGCTATACACGTATAACGTTATTTTTTGTGGATGTAGTGAACCAAAAAAGAGAGGATGTCGGATATAATGAACTTTTTTCTGTCTTCAACAGTTTTTTTCCTTCATTTTTTTGTAATAATTTTGAAATTTCTACTTCAAAATAAATACATATACCGATGTTTAAAACCATCTATAGAGGGGAATGTAGCAATAAGCATTTTTTCTTGTTTGCTTCTTTATCTCACTTTCCCATCCCTAAACAAACCAAGCAGATGTTTCCAATCCAGGCAGATGATGCACTTGTAAAGTGTTAGTGGGATCGATATGCATTTTCTGTCAGAGGGAATGAGCAATTATTCATTATTGGTCAAAGGGTTGGACACTAATCTGTGTTTATAAGGCTCTCATTTCAGCACCTTTTTGCTGTCAGTTCAGTTAAAAAGAAACCTGCAACCAAGTGACTCAAATTTAACTATGGCGAGCAGTAAACGTAAAACGCTCTCTATTGATGATAAAATGGGCATAACGTATATTCCGACGCATAACGCGTCCCGGCGTATAACGCACACCCGTAATTTCTAATGACTTTTTTTTAATTTCAAGACATACTCTTCGTATAACGCGCACAAAAATTTGGATTGTACATGTGCAATATCTCGTCTTTCAAGATCGTAAATAAAAAGTTTTTTTCCCTATCTTTTGCAAAAATAAAAGAACTGAATTTGACATGTATGTGAGAGTAGAGTTGAAAGAGTAATAATATGATTCTGAGAAAAGAAATTGTTGTATTCAGCAGTGCAGGTGTGTGCAAGAATGTTGTTCCCCACATTCCAGAAGTAAGGGGGGAGGGGTATCTGGAATGCTGTCTATTGTGTATGTCTCAAAAGCATACCACAAATCAGGAGAGAAAACGTAATTCCTCTTCTGCCAATCGCACCATTTGATGCCCTGCTTTTGAAAAGTAAACATTGTAAGCTTTAAGAATTCAGTGTAGATTTTAGTAGTAAACATGGCTCCTATCAAACGAAGCAAACACAGCACTGGATTTAAATGCAAAGTAATTCAATTTGAGAAAGAAAATGGAAATCGAGCTGCGGCGAGAAATTTTGGTATTGGGGAAAGCTCGGTGCGTGAATGGAAGAAAAATGAAGAGAAAATAATGGACATGCCCAAGGATAAGTGTTCATTACATACAGGACTAACAAAATGGCCGGCGTTAGAGGACAATGTAGAAAACTGGGTTTTGGAAAATCGGCAGAACGGCTTGATTGTAACAAGAAACTGTGTTCGCTTGTTTGCTCTAAAATGGGCAAAGATAAATCCACACGAAAGTGAAAATTTCAAGGCTACTGTGAGTTGGTGTAGCCGATTTAATGGCTCGAAAAAATTTAGTTCTACGTGAAAAAACCAAAGTATCACAAAAACTACCAAAAGACTTGGATAGCAAATTTTGAAGTTTTCAAAAATATATAGAACTGCGGAAAAAAAAGTAATATTTAAAATGGAATATTTAAAAAAAAGGAATTAAATAGGAAATATGGATGAGACCCCAGTCATGCTTGACATGATCGGTAATAAAACAATTGATTTAAAGGGAGTAAAATCTGTCAATGTAACAACAACGGACATGAGAAATCTCATTTCACCGTAGCCTTTTCTTGCTTAGCGGATGGAACGAAACTAAAACCAATGGTTATTTTTAAGAGAAAAACTTTTCCCAAATGTAATTTTCCAAAAGGTATTTTTGTTCATGTCCACGAAAAAGGCGAGATGGACGAAAATGGTGTTAAATTGTGGGTAAAAAATGTCTG